GTTGATTTTTCAAACGGCACGACACGTGTCCTTTTCGATTTGATGCATTGCGAGAGGAGACTAACCAACCGCCTTGTTAACTGTACATTTACAGTGTCAATTACAGTTGGAATCACAATAATCACTCCACGAGTTTTTCCTAATTACAGAGGTATTTGTCTTATGCCATATTTGATAGTAATTCAATTCAATACTTTTTTAAATTTAATGAATTTAAATATTAATATATTTGGATGCATTTAATAACAAAAAATTAAACATTTGAATTAATTAAACGACAATGAATTTTTTAGGTAAAATTTACTCTAAAAAATAAATAATGAACTATTCATTTATCACTTAATATGATACATATTTAAATATATCATATTTAATATTTAATAACTTAATAGATTTGAATTCATATTTCAATTTAAACTTTGATTTTATCAAACGCACCCTTATATTCATAACTATAACATTAACATCATCTCAACGCATGTTTTCAAGTCCCAATTTGATCTAGGACACTAACTAGGTGTCCACCGCGCCCCAATTTGAAAAAAAATTATCAGTAACGGATCTAAAAAATACAAGAAATTTCATAATTATTTTCTACTAGATTAATCACTAGAGCATGGGAACATGGATCGAGTACCCATGTCTACACATCTATCAGTACTCAAATGCGTAATCTACACAAGTTGGACAAATTTCACGTAATTTCATGCCATTAATTACTTAGGGGGCAAGCAACTAAGACAGGATAGGGGCCAGCTAGCAAGATTTGTTGGAGAAATCTTAGCCACGTGTGGCGCGGTCACCACCAATCAGAACATGGATTATGGCAAACACATATTGATTGATTATTTCTATTATTATGATTAGTATTATATTGTCTTTGGAAAAGGTGGCTGAAAATAGAGGCAGGGGCGTACATGAATGAGAAAAAGGTAACAAGAAATTAAAGACGAAGATAGAAAGACAAAAGGAAATCCAATAACTTCTAAAAGAAGTGCGAAGCGTTTTGGTAAAACACCGGGAATCTTCTAAAGCATCCGCATTAATGTCAGAGAGTCAATGGTGGGAGGGATAAAACGATCATACAACTTGAAGAAAGGCATACGTAATGATGATAAAGAAGAAAGAAGAAAAGCTCCCAAATCTGACACTTTCGTTGCGTTCAATCTAAAGGGGTGTGCTTTGAAGTTTTTTTTTTTTTTTTTTTTAATCTGGATTAGTTCAACTTTGATCATCGTTACAGTTCAGATATGCTTGTAAATCGGGCCTAATAAGCCGGGCTTTGATGAGCTCAAGTTCAACTCATTTAATTTGAATCATTTTCGGGTTTCGGGATATGAGTTTCGGGTTCGTAAATGTAAAGCTCATACTCAACTCACATAATATTCGAGCTGTGAGCATTAATCGGGTTTAGCCCAAACTCACTTATTACTCCTTAATTTTCTTAATATAATTACTATAACTATTAAGTTGTAAAACTAATTTAACATTTACAAGATTGTAATATTAAAACTAAATATGAACAAATAATAGTTCTTAAAACGTATATAAACCAAAAATTTTTCAACAATATTTATATTTAATCCATTCAAAATGCATGAAAAATAGTAATAAAACATGCGATCATAAACCAATACATTTTTAAAAGTTGAAACTTTTTTTATAATCATGTGATTTAAATCCAAATATGCTTGATGGTTTTTGTGTTTGTAGATCAAAAAAAAATCAACCAATATTATGTCAATACAAAAATTTACTCAACCAATAAGAAAAATTAGAGATTTAGTTATGCATTACCAATATTGGCTCTCAAGAAAGCTCATGAAAGAGTTTTTAGATGTATTTTTGTGTTTTGTAATTTATGTATATATTTAGTATTTAGTAATAATATATTTGGACATATAATTATACATAATATCAGATATAAATATTATATATATAGGTAATTAAAGCGCCGGACCTATATCGGGTTTGAGCCTAATAAGGCCCAAACTCGGCTCACATTTAATTCGAGTCTAATTTTTTGGCTCAGGCTCAAATCGACTCACTAAATGATCGGGCTCATCGGGCTCTCTGTCGGGCCGAGCGAGCCGAGCTCGAGCTGTCCTAGTCCCATTGACAGTCCTAAGTTCAAAACATATTTCCGAGACCATAAGTAGGTTACAAATATTCTTACACACCACTCACCACTATAGTTCTCATATATTATGAACACATGACATTTTATAAGAAAATGAGCTGTTTTTACCAATTAAATAAACTTGTGTTAGAAAAATCAACGCGAGCAGACTCGAAGTCCCATCTTCATAGCCCATGTTGCGTTAGCTTGGATCTCCAATACATAACATATTAGGGTCCATTTACATTTACAACTTTTCATAAAATACATGGAATATGTCAGTACATTATTTTTTTTATCTCATATATAACGCTACATGATGTCTATTGTATCTGTTAATTTTCAAATTTGTTTGTATTTTATCATGTGTTTGATTAATTTCTACCATGAAAATTTCTTGCAGCGAAATTACGCTGTCCGTTGAAAAAAATATACTAAAATTTGTGTTTGAAGAAAAACTTCAACAAATAAAATTCAAATGGAGCAGTTGCCAATCATAAATAAAAAATTGTTTTATTAAAGAAAAAGTACCACATTCTACTAAACACCCCCTTTCTTTTAAGCCGACTAGATGATGGATGATGCATCAAACTTTATTTTTATTAAAGTCAGCTTCTCGCTTTAGAGAAACCAATCGACAAGTGTACAAAAGTATGACACCCAAATTGAGCAGATGGCTCGACAACGTAGGTTGGAATTGTGGTCTGCTAAATTTGACATTTGAATTAGTTTAGTACTTTAATCATAGTACTTAGCATCTAAGTTGAGTCTAAAATCATCAGTTAGGCATTAATTTAACGACAAATTATGTACTGCATCAAGTTCTTAACTCTTAAGAAGAAAAAGAAGAATATGGATAGCTAAATCAAACCCAAACGCAATGGGTGGGTAGCCCACGGAGAAAATCCTTGTAGTGTACAATGGACCAACGGGCTTTCTTACGTTCCTAAAGATACGGTGCTAACAAAATTGGCCCAATAAACTTAGACCCGGTTCCAGTGTAACCTTTGAAGTTATTTCTGAACCAATTGATTGAACCAGCTCAATCAAACGTAAATCAGCTGCTTGGTCCGATTTCATAAGGTTAACTTATGGAAACTAGGAGTGGCAACTAGGGGTGGGCAAAATTACCCGCCCTATCCGATCTGATCTGAAATTTAGAATACCCAATTTGTATTATTTAATCTGATCAAAAGAAGGTCGAATATCCGATTAGACATGGGGCGAGTTAGGATCACACAATTAAAATTATATATATTTATTTAAATTTTTTATTTTTATGCACATGCTATAAAATAATAGTTTTAGAACTCAATAAATAATTCTATTGAACAAATTGTATTATAAATGTGAGAAATTATAGTTTATTTATAAGATTCATTTATAGAGATTATGACCTTATGGTTTATAGAAAAGAGTTTAATTGATATGAAATGTATATTTAAAAAAAATGTGCTATTTATTCCAAACTTTTTATTGATTTTGAATTTTTTGAATTTTTTTTTCTTTTTACTTTTTCTTGTATTCTCTTGGCATACTTGTTTCTTGATGGAAGACTTTTTAAAAAAAAATCTTTATTAAATCTGAGATGAATGTGCAAAATATAAAATTAAATTAATATAATTTTTTTAAAAAAATTAATGGATAAAATACAAAAAGCCCCTTGTGATAAACCTAATACACAAAAAAATCCCCTATGATTTCAAAATATACAACACGACATCCCGTACTTTGAACTAAATTGTAAAAGTGACGAAATCCGTTAAATTTAACGGAAATGACTTATTGGAACTTAAAAAATATTTGTATACCTAATTTTTAACAAATATACCTGTTCTAACTCTTAACGCTCAATTCTCTTTATCTAGAGAATAAAACAAACGATTTTTTTGAGCTGTCTTTTGCTTAATTATATCAGGGCATTATGGTCATTTTATCCAATTCCGTTAAGTTTAACGGATTCCGTCACCTTTAGTTCAAAGTATGGGGTGTCGTGTTGTATATTTTGAAATCACGGGGAACTTTTCTGTATATTAGATTTAACACAGGGATTTTTTTTTTATTTTTTATCCAAAATTAAATGATAAGTGGGGTAGAACGGATACCTGTTGACTCAATCCTATTTCAACGGATACTCTATAATCGGTTCCGCTGATATGCAAAACGGATAAGGGTTAGAAAATTGTTGCGGCGGATAAGGGTTAGAAAATTGTTGACCCGCACGGTGCCGGTCGGATCAACCAAATTGAGTACGCTTCGCGCGAGGTTGCCCGAACAGGGATGTTGATTGGCGATACATATACATATAGGAAATAAACAAGTTTTATAGGACAGCAGGAATAACAGAGAGATTTAAAGAAACAATCAGCAATATCTAATAAGAGTAGGAGCCAGAATGGGAATCAAAGCTGAAACAATAGGCAGACATAAGACAGATGATATTAACTAATAAAAGGCAACTCTGATCTGCTTATTGGAACAGCAAGAAATCAAGGCAACCAAAACTCATGGTTCAAACTTATTAGTAAACCCTGATGACACAAATTGAAATAAGTTAAAAGACTAATAGCATCTGTAACTAACACTTCTAGGCTAACTTGTGAATGAAACTATCAATGCAACTAACATCAACGTTCAATAGGTTAATTGTATTGACTAGTGCATCGATGAACAAGTAACTAAACTTGTAATATATGGACATCATTTGTTGGGTAAACATGTTCGTGGAACCAATAACAAGAAACCAATTTTCTTAGGCAAGTCTGGCAGTCTACAAACGAGTCAAATTTGAAAGAATTAAAGGGAAAACAGAAAGGAAAAACTAGAGGCCAGTGCAGCAGAGCAAAGTATGAAACGAATGGCAAAAAAAAGGCTCAAGATCGACCAGCCCAAAGCCTTTGATTAGCTTTATTAAAGAAGGAAAAGACGAGCTTTCCAATCAGCTACAAGGAAATCGTGTGTAATTTATTTCATTGTGAACAAGGGCATACATAGAAGGAACAGAGGGTCCTAATGTCAAATAACACTCGGAAGCCGGGACATAATAAGGGACCATGAATCAGTATTCATAAATCCCACTCCCCCTTCTTTTTCCTAGGGATGAGTAGAGATAACGTTTACAACTTTTCCGTTTGGTGTACCGGACAAAAGTCTAAATCCTTAGTTACTTAACTATACTAATCATATGAATACAACCTCTGTAATACATTGTCCGGAAGAACATACTGCTGGTTCAGATCACGCATCTCATATTTCATGGTTTCCAGCCGAAGATGATTCCACACTTTTCTGCACACCTGGGCTGGCAGAAGAATGATTTGTAACATCAGGATCCAAATCCAATCAATCATGTCTCAGAATTCTTGATCCCCCCTCCTTTACTCCTGAAATTTTTACGTACATATATATATACACATTAGCTCCCAGAAGCCAAAACCAGATGATAAAGGAACCACACCGCGTATGAGTAACATTTCTGACATCAGCTAAGGTTCAGCAGCTAACGTGGTTGTCAATTTTGATTGCAAGTCAATCTTGGTTACATCCATGCACGTATGCTTGTTCTTTTTTCTAGTCAATGAATGACAGAAAACTAGGAAAATTTTTATAAACACGAGTCATATAAAGAAGTAGAGAAGGGCAAGAGAGATTTGAACCAGAACCTCTAATTCCCGAAATCTTAACCCCAGGAAATGAGCGAGTCTTACTTATATCTACAATCAAATACGTGCATGCCGGAAATGTAATGAAGTTTTGGATTGTGATTGATGAATTTAGAGAGAGTACGTACCAGTTATAAGGACTCAATGATGAAGTCCAAAATGTAGAATGCAATACAACTCACAGCTGAACTTTTGCTGTGCGCCTAAACTGTGCTTCGGACCGGAGTGCCTTTTATAGGCCTCTGAGTGGACTTCAAAGCCCGGATTTCATCTGCACCATACACTAACAGCACCAATAATGTAGCACAACAATATAATAATTTGGATAGCGATTTTATTTATGAAATAGACCAGTTTCCCGTGTGCGCAGTATTATTATTTTTTTTATGTGGACAGTATTAAAGGGCTCGTCCCTGTCGTGCCTCTTGGCTTATCTGCATTTACAATGATGAGTTGGTGAACTTCCTCCCACTCAAATATAAAGGAGGGAAACAAAAAGGTAGTGATTCCTAATATATTCAAGTTTTCTTAATCTCTCGTAATGTCCTCTAATTTTTTCTGATCCGCAAAGTCCGATTCTTTATTCTACGCAAAATTTCGGGTTTATCCGGTCCTATGAATTCTTGTCGCGTCCATTTTAGTCCATCCCACATTTTTTAATTGAAACCGATATTAAAAATTTTTAACAAAAACAAAAAAGTTAAATGAACAACAAAGATGAAGCATAAAAGAACATCATGACGAGTTAATTCATTAATGTAGAAACTGTTAATTTGAGGGCGAGCTAATTCATTTTTTCGAGCTTTCATTACGAATCTGTCGGTTTCGAAAGGACAGCTTCAATCATCAGACCACTGGGCCCGCTTGATAAGAGATCTGAATTTTGAAATATTAAAATGAAGTGCGGAAGATAGTATATTAAGTTATTGAATTGATTAGGTTATATAGTACCTGTTTAATAGCTAACTGAATTATAGTGAGTTTGTTTGGATAAGAGTTTATTTGGATGATTTATTTGAGATATTTACTGTAGCACTTTTTGTGATGTGATGTATGTGAGATAAAAAGGTGATTGGGAAGATAAAAAGGTGATTGGGATTTGTGAAAACAAATTTTGCAAACCAAATTTGGCTTGTCCAAACAAACTCAGTGTTGAATTGAAATATCGCAAAAATACTACTATATATTTATGTCTTGAAAAATTACATTTATTTGTGCATTTAGAGAGAAAGAAATGTGTGTGTGCGCGTGTTTGAGAGAAATAGAAACTTGTGCATATCCCATTTCGATTAATGTAATTTAATTTTGAATTGAAAGCAATTAAGATTAATGATCATTGATTTAGCAATGTTAAAGTAGTGCAACTTCAAGTATTAAATCTATTCATCAATCAAACATAGCTACACATTAAATAGTACAATTCATGAAACTAAATTATTGCACTCAAGTAGCTATTCTAAAGAGTATAAGTCTCTTTTTTTTTTTTTTTGGAAACTAAGGAATATAAGTTCAATTTATACATGTAACTAATGATAAGATCCATTTTTTTTTTAATAATGAATCACTAAGATGTTCAAAGTACTGACTTTTCCATGCTAAACTTTTAATTTAATACAAAAAAATCAATTCAACCATCTATATTACTTCAAGCAACTATTAAACAGTTGTAAAAAATATTAGGTTTAAGCACACCATTGGAGGTTCAAATCCAAAGGATTGAGGAAAATTAACTTGAAACTTGGAGCTTTTATGCATTTATTAATTGGTTATGTATTTAGAGAGATTTGAGTTAAGAGAATAAGTTTTTCTCGGGATAACTAAATAATAACAAGATGAAGGTAAAAGTACGTTGTATGGGCTCACATTTGGATAGACCTGGTTTTTAAAAATTCAATGATTCAAATTATGCTACATTATTTGATGAAGTGGTGTGGCACAATTTAGACTATTGAATTTTTGAAAATCGAATTTACCCAAATTTTAGCCCACTAACATAACTATGGGCAGCCAACTTGGATAACACATACCAGAAAGAGAGCCTAGATTCAACTTAATATATAATTATCAAAGACTCAAATATCATCCCAATAAGTACAGATTATAGAAGAAACAAAAGGTATAATTGACTTATAAGATTAACGTAGTCGCAAAAAATATTTGGACCATATTCTGTCTCACATGATCAGAGTTGAAACTAACCTTGACCAATAGCATACACAATTGAATTCACAAAATTGTCCATCCACTCACTATCATCCCAATCAGCACAGAGTGTAGAAGAAACAAAAGGTATAATTGACTTATAAGGTTAACGTAGTCACAAAAAATATTTGGACCATATTATGTCTCACATTATCAGAGTTGAAACTAACCTTGAACAGTAGCTTACACAATTGAATTCACAAATTGTCCACCCACTCAATATCATCCCAATCAGTAGGGAGTGTAGTAGAAACAAAAGGTATAATTGACTTATAAGGTAAACATAGTCACAAAAAATATTTGGACCATATTATGTCTCACATTATCAGAGTTGAAACTAACCTTGACCAATAGCATACACAATTGAATTCATAAAATTGTCCATAGGGGACCAAAACCATTGGGTTAGTTTGGACAGCTTTCTATATCCGTAATTTTATTTGCTTACACCATCTTCACAATTTCCAATACACCTTTTTATTTTCCCAATTACTTTTTTATCTCACATATATCACATCACAAAAAGTGATACAGTAAAAATATTCCAAATAATCTCAAATAACTTACCATCCAAATATTGCTAGACTAAACTCCCTTATTTTATATGTAAGATTAGGATTTCTCTTGACTTAATATTTCATGAATAGAACTTGTAAAGCTTTTCTGGCAGCACATACTCGGGAGCCAGGCCTTCCATCTCATATTGGATAATCATCCGCTGAAATCGTCTCGACGCTTTTCTAAGTGCCAAAGCTGGGGTTGTTAGAATTATTTTCAATACAATTTGCCAAAGCCGAGGCATGATGTTTCAAAATGCTTGATCGGCTTCTTTACCTAATCGTTAATAAACACCACCTTATATAAGTAACTAATACAACAAAACATAACTGTACTGAAAAAAAATTATTATGACTGTGTGGATAACACGGCCATGGTTGATTGTTAAGAGAAACGAAACTTGTACGAAGATGCAACCTCATCTCGAAATCATTACTAATTCTCATCCAAACGCAATTAGCTAGCTAAGATAGAATGCAGAGAATTCATATTGTTTTGAGCTTAAAATTCAAGTACGCTCTTGATACGCATAGTTTGTCGTCGTCGCCCTCTTAATAAAGAATGGCGTGAAATCTTCATTTTTTATTTGTTGGAATTTAGGAGCGAAGGGAAAGGTGAGGATTGGATCGCATGTACAAAAAATGATAAGAAAATTACGAGTAAATGAATTGTTTGGAACGCAAGGGGAGAGAGGTGGCGGGAGAGAGGGGAGAAGAGAGGGAGAGGAGAAAAAGAAAAAAAAAAAAAAGAAAAAGAAAAACTGTCTCTGCTGCTGTCAGCACCGGAACCTCTGCTGGCCGAGTTGTGAGGTGATGGAGAAGGAGGAGAGAAAAGAAAAGAAAAAAGAAAAATCTAAAAATTTTTTCTACCTTTTAAGACAAGTTGCAATAAAATTTTAAACAAACATAAAAAAAAATCCATTCGGCAAACGGGGCCAAAATTTGGTCAATCACATCTAACTAGTAGTCGTACAACTGAATTTTGTGACGTCCACTGAGTTTAGAAAGGAATCGTACCTGCAAGAGCCAAGTGTAGGTAACGACGGTCTTTGAAATGAACGGACAACAAGTTTAGAGAGACAGGTTTGAATCGACACGGTTGCTCTTCTTGGCAGAAACTGTTAGTATAAGAGAACAGTAAGAGGGCCAGCGGGGAAAAGGATCATCCAACTATATGCAGACATGTAGCCTCAATCGGTACGGAGCTCCTCAGCGGACTCCAAATTCCGGACTTCACCCTAAGTTTTAACCGCATTTTCTTGATTTGGCTTTTGCATCAATGGTCCATAACTGCCCGGACCTACTCCTTGTCCTGTGGCTTTTAAGCAATTGGATTGGGACACGGTTAGAAAGAGACCGGGAGATGAACGCCGCGTGAGGCGCGGTGGGATTATATGAGGTTGGCAATTTGGCATGCCCCGCCGAATGAAATTTTTGCAACCTGAAATCATCGTGATTAAATGAAATGGAGTAAATATCTTGTGTAAATTGTGGCTCATTTTGGATCCATCAATTTTTCAAAAACTCGTTTTTTAAATACTATATAAAAATTTTTAAAAAAAATACTCTAAAAAATAATCTAATTTTTTTAATGTTTTAAAAAATTTCCAAAATATATTCTAAAAACTTTGTTACAGTTAAATTTTCCAAGAACACCCCAAAAATTAGCTATCCAAACGGATTAGAACATTTTGTTAAAAAATATATCGTAATAATTTAATATATGTAAAACAAAAAAGGTAATTGAGTAATATGTCAACAAAAAATGTAAAATTTTCTTCAAAAAATCACAATCCAAACAAACAATTGAAGGGCTCAATTCAACGTGCTGGTTGCTTTTTTTTTTTTTTTTCTTTAGAATTATTTATTGAGATAAATCACCAATTTAATCCTCAAACTTCTTTATTTAAACCAATTTCATCCTTCATTTTTTATATAGATGTTTTTAGTCTTTCAACTTAAATTTAGTAGCCAATTTCATCCTTCTGTGGCAGTACTACTTTTTGACATAAAAATCACCACCAAATTAAGGGCAATATAGAAACTACAAGTTAAAGATCAAAACAAAAAAAAAATTATTAGATTATAAAGTTGAAATCATCTCATCTTCTTCAATGAGCAGCCGCATCTCTGATTTTTCTTCTTCGGCTAGCTCTTGCCAAACTTCCAAAGACAATATTTTTTTTTATATATAAAAAAAAGACCTTCATAAACATTTTTGTTTTTGTATATCATATGTCTTGTAATTTTAACCTACAATTAAGACTTACTAACATATAAATTTTTTTTTGATAAACTCAAGAAAAGTATTCAAAATAGCAAATGGATTAGCTGCTTTCTAAACATTCCCTTGTCGATAACTAATCGTCATCGTCTCATCAGACCTTGGAAACAGCTTCCTTAAAACCATCATTTTAAATTGCATTGTCACTTTGAATTTTCAATTTCCAATTCAAACTTTTTCATCGACCTCTTTACATCCTTATCCATCCCCTCCTGTTGCAGTGAATTTTGTTGGAGTGGATTTTGGTTGCAAAAAATAAGGGTTGGCTTTTGCAGTTTGGTGCCAGTCAGAGGTCGAGAAGAAGAACAATTTGATTTATTGCACTTCTTGTTTTACTTTCCAAATTAATGGACAATTGGTTTTCTCCCCAACGTAACAGAAAATATTTTGCATTCATTGTTTTAAATATGATTCCTATTTCATAATTTCTATATTACCCTTGACTTGATGGTAATTTTTCCATCGGAAAGAGTTTTACTGGCGACGCCATTGACTTTAAATTAAAGGACTAAAATTACCTAAATAAATAGATGAAGGATGAAATCGCCTTGAGAGTTAAAATGTTGGAGGACTAAATTGACCATTTCCCCTTCTTCTTTATTGCAATGATGAGTAGACAATTTTGTCGTAAACCCAAAAAGAAAAACGGTGTTGCTGCCGAACGCGGATCACGGGAATCCACCCATACAGTGGCACTATAGTAGCTAGAAAAGTCACATAACTCTGTCTGCGAATTAAACTCCATTAACGCTGTACAACGAAGAAGAAGAAGAAGAAGAAACAAATTCTTCTTGGCGTTATTTATTATTTCTATTGACTTTTATTTTCATGCATAGATCTTCTCTGGCAGAACATATTCGGGATTCAGGCCATTCATCTCATATTGAAGAATCATCAGCTGTAGTCGTCTCGCAGCTTTTCTAAACGCCCAAGCTGGAGGTCCTAGAATTTTTTGCAATACAATTTGCCAAAGCCGAGCCATGAGATGTTTCTAAACGCTTGATCGCCTTCTTTACCTAATCGTTAACAAACACCACTTCACATAAGCAGTACCTAATACACCAAAACAAAACTGTACCCAAAAAAACAAAAAAAAAATTTATTATGAATGTCCGTCACATAAAAAGAAAATTCCAAGTTAACGAATTGTCATTACATTAACATAAACTCTGCCAGAATGAAATTCGATCAAGCATATTTTTAAGTAGTAGTAGTTTATTACTACACCTAAACCTAAATTTTGTGATGTCCATTGAGTTTATAAAAGGAAGCATACCTGCGAGGACCAGTTGTGGTGTGGAGGGAGACAGCAACAGTTTCGAATTGAATGGACTGCAAATGATGGGGAAAGGATGATGCGCCCATATGTATATATATGGACCACTCGTACACCTACCATCGGACTCCAAATTCCGGACTTCACCTTAAGTTTTAAGTTTTAACAGCATTTGCTTGGTTGCCGAGACCCAACCCTTTTCCCCAGAAGCTTTTAGTTATTGAATGGAAAACACTTTTCACGTTGATGATCCCATAAAACGCTTAACGGTGTGGATACGGTCGAATGAAAGGGGTTGTCGTCTTCCCATTTACTAGATCTCGATTCTGCCTGTCAACGCCCGGGTCTAGACCCGGTTTCGAATCGGATCCATCAAATTATTTTAGATACGAACAGGAATTTAATTTTGTTATCGAGATCCGGACCCAGATCCATTTTGTCAAATAAAAAAATGGATTAATTATAGTATTTCGATCATTCGATCCAGATCCAAATATAAATGGATTAATTATTTAAAAAATATATATTTATCAATATAATTTGATTAGGCGTGATGTATTTGAATAAAATCAATTTGATTTCTTTTCTTATTTAGTTTTTTTGTATTAGTTAGAAATTAGTTTACACATATATTTTTCTCATTTTTGTTGCAGAAAATTGCGAAACTTGACATGATGTATTTGATATTTAATATTTGAATGGACCTTTTAAAAGTTGTAATTTGTTGGATTTCATATTGACTTTGTCGTTTTGGAATGACTTTTGTAGATAGATTTGTGGTTCACTTTGAAATGACTAACTATTGTGAGTGATTTGTGATTTTACTTTGTAATTTGTGACTTAGATTTGTGATTGACTTTGAATGTGTTTGTAATTTGCTGCAAAACATGCTTCGTTTTAAATTCTTGGCAAGTTTCATTTTTAAATTGTTGCAAAACAAGTTTTGATAGATTTTTTTTTTCGGATAGACCTGACGCGGATCTGAGACCCGTCAGATCCGAATTCGAAATATAGAGTAGAAGACCCGCTGGATAAACGGGTCGAATCCATATTCAATATAGTAGGCGGATCCGGATTCGAAATAATGAATTCTGGTCCGGACCCGACCCGTTGACAAGCTTATTAAAGTGCTCCGCACTATTTGACTATATGAAATTGATCCTCCTTTAATAAAAAAAAAAAAAAAAAGATACAAAAGTTTTTAAATTTGTTTTTAGAGTTTATTAGTGTGAATGTGAAAAACAAAAATAATTTAAAAAAAATGTTAAATCCAACAGAGCCTGTACATCCTTAAAGTTGGACTATAATTATGTGGCAGCCCAACCTTTTCCAAGTCCAATTGAATGGGAAAAAAAAGAGGCCAACTACACAACTCCAATAAATAAATGGGCATGAAAACGAAAAAGCAATTCTGCAATTGCTCAAATATGAGAACTCTACATGTTTGTGCGCATACGAATAATCAAAGATTCACGTTCGTTGGTAACGTGGTATGGCAACCGATTCGTGTTCAGCTAGACCGACATCTGAATGACAAATATACAAATTTTAAGAGCAATATAAAATGAACCAGGTTAAGTAAATATAAAATTGTTAAATATATACGGCCATGGATATAGTACCAACACCCAATGTTGGTCACAATTGTCAATTTTAATCAAATGGATAGCCAGCACAAAAATCTAGTATTGTTTGGATTGCAAACTTTTCATAAAAAATTTTTATGCTTTCCGTGAATAAATTTGCTAATTATTTTTTTAGCTCGCATACATTAAATTAATACAAAAAATATATTTTCTGTAAAAACTCGAAAAAACAACAATCCACAAATGGTTCTGATGCATTTTGGATTGTAGTTTTTCAGAATTTTTTTATAAAAAAATATACTATAACAATGTATTATTTATAGAAAAATATACTATAACAATGTGATGCACGTCAAGCAACAAAGTGAATGAAAAAGGCGTCAAAAGATTGCTCCTAAAATTTTTCTACGAAAGCAAAGGTGATGACTTCATGCATTTGGAAGGAATAAATATGTTGACTTTGAGAAGACAACTTCTTACATGTACTTGGTCGGCGTTAAATTAATTTTAACTTGCTTTTTTTTTTTTTTTAAAACACAAACTATGATTGACGTTATTATCATCTACACGATATTGACACAAATCTAAAACTTAATTTGACTTGTTCGAATCTGAAATATGCAACTCATTGACAAATGGGGTGTATGAAGAATTCATTGCCCACATGATATTGACACAAATCTAAGCTTAGAGCCCGTTTAGATTGTATTTTTTTTTTTTAAATTTTGGGAAAAATTTATTGTAATAATTGTTCAGAATGCGATATATGCAAAGTAAAAGGATAATTTAAAAATGTGTAGAAGGAATATTTACGTAAAACATTCCTCTAAAAAATGGCAGCCAAATAAGGCTTTCCCTTTTGAGAAGATGTTTGGTATAATCAAGCACTTAACTTATCAATTGTTGGTAGATCTGACCGTTAACATTGAATAACATTTTTAAACATGCGGTTCAAGGTCCAAACACATGCTATGTTTATTTATGTAGCTTTAATCTTTTAAATAAATTAGTTTGACAAAATGATTTTTAAGTTGACAATTGACAATTACCGTTTAAGGGTATTTATATTGAAAAAATATGTTTAAACAATAAACTAAAAAATGCTTATAGCTAGTTACGGGGACAATACGTATTTGAGCTAGTCAGTGTAATCAAAATTAGTTTGTATGAGAGTAAATATGAAAATACATAAAGTGGGAATAAAATGTTTATACTAAACCCTCTCCACTCCCTTTCTTTATATATACTGTAGTAAGTATAGATATTTCTTCACCTGTAATTAAGGGGTTCTTTTCCCTTTTTTTTTTTTTTTGTAAATAAAAAAGTTAATTTGATCACATTAGGATACAAACCCACGACTAACATTTACTTGCTGCTGAAGTTGTCATAAACTCGTGTGGACGCTACCGCTTTACTTTTTGCAATAAAGTCGTTCAAGCGTCTGCACGACTTAAAAGGAAACTAGCATTCCCGGTTGGGATTCTTAAAATCCCAGTAAAGTCCCGGGAACGTGGAGTGTGGGAGACGCGTAGACTGCGCGCCAGGCCCACTGTAGACGAAATAGAGTAGCAACGGAGGCGCAGGATTGCGTCCGCCGTCGGCGACACGGCACACATTAGCTAAACTCAGCTGCACCGGAAATTCACAGTGATCACCGACAAATTCAAGCAGAAAACGGGATTTTAAACTCTAATTTTCACCTCCAATTTTGTAAAAAGCCAGTTCAATTTCAGGATCATTGTTAGAAAAAGAAGTAGAAAAATGTGGGTATTCTATTTGATCTCCTTGCCGCTAACCCTAGGCATGGTGATTTTAACACTAAGATATTTCGCCGGTCCAGACGTGCCCCGATACGTGTACTTTACAGTAGCGTACACCTGGTTTTGCTCAATTTCCATCATCATCCTCGTCCCAGCCGATATTTGGACGGTAAATTTTTGTGCCCTATTCTGATTTGGAAAATTTGCGTTCTTTTCTTGCTTTTCTGTATGGAAATTTAGCTTATGTTATCGATCATGTCAATTAGGGATCAGTTACTTGTTAGAAACATGTTATTCTAGCTCGAATTGCATGTAGTATTTATGAGGAAGGTTATTGTTTTTCTTCCTTATTTTTTATTTAGTTTTTTTTTTTTTTGTGTTATTCATCTTCCCTAATTTCTTGCCTGTCTCAGCTGGAGCATTTAGCTTTCTGGTTTCTCACTCTGCTTTTCACTCACCATTATAGGATTTAGCAATGCTTTTTGGTTATTGCGTGGTCGGTCTAGTTTTATTAATCTTTTTTTTTTCTTATTTTTTTCCGGTACAGACTATTATTGGCCATTATAATGGAGGAATCTCTTTCTTTTGGAGTTGGTCATACTGGAGTACATTCTTACTCACTTGGTATGCCACTTTGAAGTGTTACAGCCTTGTTACATTGGCTCTCTCTTTCGCAGATCGTTTGGAGCAAAAACTTAATCTTGATTTGTAGTGTATAACTGTTGAATAATTCTGATTTTGATTTATAATCCAATTCTGGAGCTATTACCTTTTTAGTATAGTGCAAATTGTTGAGTTAGTTTCCTGGCCCAAGAAAAAAGAAGTGCAACTAGCAAATAGCGGAAAAAAGATATCTTGGGGTTATCAGCAATCTTCCCTTTCACTTTTACATAATTCTGATACTAATTACCAAAGACTTCTTGTTCGGGATGACTATGCATCATTTTTTGAAAAGTAGGAAAGATGTTTATTGAAGCACCTCATCTTTCTTTACTTGTTGACATCCTGACTTCTTAATTCAATTGTATGTCTTTCTAAATCTTTGTCTGAAGTGATTTCTACAATTTGTTGTTGAGGCAGGATTTGAGCTCCAATCTAACCGATCATTTAATGTTGACATGCATTTAGCTAAATGCCTTGGGAACCAAAATTGTAGTGGTTTAGTTTTATTGATGAATAGGTTTTCTCTTCTCCATTTAATAGTCTATACTTTGTTCCGCTGACTCTTTTTGATTTGTCTGTCTAACTTGATCATGCTCTTTTATATCACTGAGTAGGATTGCAGTGCCCCTTATTCAGGGTTTTGAGGATGCCGGGGACTTTACAGTTACAGAAAGATTGAAGACCAGCATTCATGTAAACTTAGTGTTCTATTTAATAGTGGGGTCCATTGGCCTTCTTGGGCTTATTCTTCTTGTTACTATGAGCAAAAATTGGTACGTTCTTCCTCTTGAGTATCCCATTTGTTTTTTCGTCTACATTCTCTCCTGTGTCTTGCTTTAGGCGTGTGTCCTGTTGTTTAACAATCTAGGTCTATAAAAGGTTCAGTTTCTTGGAAAATTACCCATGGATATGCCAGCCAAAGCCTTGGGAAAGAAATTGTGTATCTCTTTCTACCACGTATTAGTATATAAAATTCTTGTGTTCTATATGCTTTTCTATCGCCTACTTCAGGAATTTATGAGGAGGAAATGACCTAGTTTGCATATTATGTAGTTTCATTGTTTGAGACAATGAGTATGGTTACTTAGTAGAGCATTTCCAGTTCGGGTGGGTTCAATGACATAATTGATTAATAGTAATCTTTTTAGTGGTTATTATGTTTCTATTACTTGATTTCCTTGGATTAAAAACTTGGTTCAAGCATCTTTGTTTAGGCCCTTAATTTTAGTGACGTGCTA